CCTGGGCCAGCATCACCCCTGAACCCCTCCCCAGGACAGCATCATCTCTGTGCTGCTCTCCGTTCCCTTCAACGGACGTAGGGAAGTAGTCGAAGCCCCTCAGCCCCTACTTCTTGCCCTTCCTCTCTGCCTTTCTTTAGGGCAGAAACGTCCACAGCTCTGTCCTTGTCTGGAGCAAGCCGGTGTCCCTGTGTCCTGAGCTCTTTCAGCAGCCCCCGCAGCGTGCTGGGTGAGCAGGGGCCCTTGCTGCCACCCCCCCCGCCCCCGCCTCTGCCTTCGCAGAGCTATTTTCAGCCGCTGACCCTGCGGGTGCAGGAGCTGCAACCCTGACCCTGCTGGGGAGCTGGGGAGCCCAGCCAGGGGCAAGATGGGGTGCAGGACCACTGGGCTGGATTGCTTCTTCACGGGGAGGTGGCCGGACACCAGCCCTGATCTGAGCTCCCCGGGCTGCCCACCCACAGCAGCACCCTCCCGCATGCTGGGGCATTCGGCTCAGCAAGTGCAAGGCTTGGCCCTGTTTGGTGCATCTCACATCCCTCGGCTCGGGCTGACGCTGTGCAGTGTCCCCCAAGAGCCCTGGAGAGCAGGGGAGTCCCTGCGGGGCCGTGACTGCCTGGCACGCAGCCCCCTGCCAGCTCCGAGTTCAACACCAACCATCCGCACGGCGAGCCTGGGCCCTGCGCCCCGTTCCTCCCTCGACCCCCCTCCAGGTACCTGCTGTGTCCCATGGGAAACCACCCTCTGACCCCCACGCTGGCGATGTCCCCACCACCAGGGCTGGCATGTCCTCAAGCCCTGTGCACCCACCTACTCACCGATCCTGGCGTGGGACCTCACCTCTCCTATCTGGCCGGGGGACACCTCAGGCACCAGGGACCGAAGATGCTCTCCTGCCACGCTGGGGATGAGGCCACCAGCACTCGGTGGCCCCGCTGGCCCTCTGCAGCACCCCAGGCTCACTATCGCTTGCCCTGACCCGTGCTGGGCTCCAGCCCAGATGCCAAGGTCCAGCCGTGGGACAGCAGTTATTTCTGGCTGAGAAAAGGGGCGGAGCAGGGCTGACCCTTGGGGACGGGGACACCGTCACCCCAGCACAGAGCGGGGCTGACCTACGGGGACCAGGATGCTGCCATCCTGGCACGGAGCAGGGCTGACCCTTGGGAACTGGGACACCATCACTCATCCAACAGAGTAAGGCTGAGCCTTAGGGACCAGGACGCCACCACCCCAGGACACTGCAGGGAAGAGGCTTGGGGACCAGGATGTTGTCACCCCAGCACGGAGCAGGGCTGACCATTGAGGACCAGGACGGTGGCCACGCAGCGGCGGCAGCAGCAGCAGGAGGTGGCCATGTGCCATGTGTGCCCAGGCCACCTCGGGGACGGATTGGAGCCAGGCGAGTGGGATTACGGCAGTTTATTTCTGAGCTGGGTATACAACTGTGTCGCAATGGTGGGTCGCGGTGGCTTGGGAGCCGGGTGGCGGGTGAGTGGGGCTGTGTCCCAGGTAGGGCAGGCTGCAGGGCAGGGGGACCCCAGGGGACAGGGATGGGCTGGCTCCGACAGTGTGTCCTGGGGAAAGGGAAGGGATGTCAGAGCCCCAAAAGCTCCAAAGCATCTTCCTTTCTTGTGCTGGCCTCACTGGCACCAAGCCCAGCTGGCTCCTGCTCACCCCTGGGTGGGGACAAGTGCTTTGGGGACCCATCGCCCTCTAGCATCTCCTGGCACCCCAGCTGGCTCCTGCTCACCCCTGGGTGGGGACAAGTGCTTTGGGGACCCATCGCCCTCCTGGGCACCCTCTGCTCTCCCACATAACTGCATCCATCCT